TGTATTGGACACTTGCGATTTGGGTCCTCAATTCTCTTGTTTTGATCAGTCTTTTCAAGAACTGTAGCAGGTGTGGGTAGAACATTAGTCCTTTTCACTAAGGTTGGACCTCTACGGTCTCTGTGCAACATACGTGTGTTCGTAAGTCTTGGAGAGAGTGTACTGAGAAGGTTACAGTCCCCATATGAAAAACGTGGGTCATTCTTAGTGTCTGCAATCCTTTTGATGAACTCGCAGAAGTAGGAAAAAGGAGGAAATGCAACTCTATGTTCTTCCTTATACTTTGATCCAAGTGTGACGGTCGTGGCGTCAGACCCCTAGCCCTTCTCACCAACTCGTGACCGAAGGACTAGCCAATCTAAAACCGCGCTGTCACGTGCATAACAATACCACGTTCAGCTGCACCCTGCACAAAGATTTTCCAGCTAATGGACCACAATCTATGTACATGCATCCTGAGAGCGATTGTTACTGGGTCAGGTTAATTATGCAATTAACCCTTCACACTGCCACCACTGCCTTTTTGTAGAGAAAAGGAGGAAACTCGCCAATACTAGCAATAACACTATGATGTTTGAATACGCGTCTGTATACACACTGTTACCGCAGGCAGAGATATACAGAAGTTTTAAAACACACAGTAGCACTCTTCAGAGACAGGGATTCTTAGTTTGCTTTAAAGAGCTTTAGAAACAGTTCAACACTTTTCAGAAAATTAAGATTTATTACTAAAAAGGTCAAAATGGTGCAATAAACGTATTTACAGAAAAAGATGTAGCCAATATATAGATATATAAATACAGAGAGCAATAACACAGCAAAGAGATAACAGAAAGAAGTTTTAGAGAGGTAGAGTACTTGCCAAACATCCTGGGTTAAGCAGATCAAGTTTCCAAGTTGGTTCCGATGTTAAAAGGGAGAATTCTTTAACTTCCTGCTCCAAGCATAACAGCCTTATTCTAGGAACTCAGCAGGGTGTCTCCTTACAGCAGAGAACCAATCGCCTCATTTGGGGAGGGGTGTTGTAGGCAGGGAACTCAGGCTATGACCAAATCCCTCCCAAGTTATACCAGGGTCAATAACCTTCCCTAGGTACATGTAACATTCTATCCATGGATAGATTATTATGCAGAATCATCTGCTGAACGTCTAGATATCAAACATGCCATATTTTACTATTCCAGCTAGAACTATATGGCTTCAGCTAGGGGTGTAAGATATCAGACGACTCGCATTAAACTTAGCTATCCAAATATATGCTTTATTTTTATGTAATTATTTCTTACCTTAAGATATGAAATTATAGGGAAAAGTGGATTTTAAATGTGAGGCCTGTTTTATGGCTATCTAGGAATGCGTTTGAAGCCCAGTGAAGGAATGGTTTATGGCTTTACGATTATCTCATATTGAGAAGCTAACAGACACCTGGGCACCAGCTAATTTGGGATTTATAACCATGAAGCTGTCCCACTGTGCCCGATTGCCTGTGCACTTCTGAACCAAGCACACAGGACCACGTGTCACTCAACAGAGAGGGAGTAGGGAAGCTGATTTGGAGTAGAAATGATACAAGATGGAGGGCCTTTGGCAAAATGGAGGTTCGCATCCATCTCTGTGCGTACAATTGCTACACCAAGCGCTGCCCATTTCTCTTGAATTCCATATGGTAGCTTGAGGACAATAGATTTGATGCCATGAGAGGTGTTAAGGTAACTGAGACCAGGTAAGTTGATGTAAGCCTTAGCAAGTTGAAGCTCTAATAGAATATCGCTGAGTTCTTGAAACTTTAGATTGTTGCTAGCAGAAATTCTTGGGAAGCTTTGCAACCTTTTGAATAAAGCATCTTCAATGGCCTCTGGGCTGCCAAAGGTATGTTCAAGTCTGCCCCAAGCAGCATTAAGGCCTGCAGCAGGGTTGTCAATATGAACTGCTTTGAGCCTCTTGATGCTTTCAGTAGACTGGGGACCTAGCCATCTGATGAGTAGATATAATTTCTCTGTGGGATTGATGTCTAGGTCACTCATTGTGGCCTTAAAGGTGGATTTCCAGCCTCTGTAATTTTCAGGCTTGTCATCAAACTTGGTGAGGCCTGTCTTAACACACTCTCTGTGGAGCATGTATTTAGCAAACTGTGACATGTCCGTGTTTTCATATTTTGGGTGCATGACTGCAGGTGGAACAGAGTTGGTTGTGATGGTTGGTGGACGTTCGTGGAGTGACTTGGGAACATATGTTGCTGCTAAGGCATTCAATGCTGGAGCTGGCTTAAAGTCCATTGGCATGTTGGTTTGTAGAGTAGTGCGTTTGCTAGGAGGTACTCTGTTGGTGCCAAAGTAAGGTGGACGTTCTATTAAATACATACCAGTGTCTGCAGCTAGCTGAGATGCTGCAGTCTGATATATTGGAGGATATAAGGGCAAATCATCTTGAGGTACAGCAGGTGCAGAGAAGAGACTTTGAGTACTTTGGCTGCTGCGACAGGGAGTTGAGGTTCTGGAGAGGTGTGTGAAGAATCTGAGACATAAAATACAACTGAGTGTCTGGAACTGTTGTTTCTTTTGTTTTCACTAACGGCCTTTTCTAAGACCCTTAACCTTGCCATGGCTGTGGCATGCTCACATTGTTTTTCCAAAACTTCAACATCTGCCTTTTGACGTATGGCTTCAGCTTCTTTGTCTGCTTTCTGATGTGCGGCCTGAGCCTCCATTTCTGCTTTCTTATATGCGGCCTGAGCCTCTATTTCTGCTTTCTTTTGGGCAAAAGCTGCCTGAATTTTAGAAAATTCAGCATTAGCATGGGCTTTTATTAGTGTAGTGTAGTTATGAGTGTAGAAGACCTTGATTGTATGGATTTGGAAGATCTTGAGGAGCGTCTAGTAGATGCAGAGTGATAAGATCTGGATTCATGTAGCTGTTTTAGCCGCACGTCTGCCTTTGTCTTTGTTCGCACCACTAAATTGTCTCTTTTTCAAGATTGAGCTCCTCAAAACTCATTAATTCTTCCAATGACCTTTGAGTGTTGTACCGCTTTAATAGAGCAATATATTTAACACACAGTCTTTGATAATTCTCATAAGCAACATTCAATTGATGGATAGCGCCCTCTAGTTGTATTGGATCATGAGATTGTTGAGAGAGAGCAGACATGCATTTAACAGTATTAGACCATAAGTCATTAATATTAGACAGCAATTCTTCCTTGTCAGCATTAAGACTTACTTGTACTTTCCAGGTTGGATTTCTTAAGCATTTTTCTCTTTTATCTAAGTCCTGCTCTGGATGAAGCTCTGATTGTGGTTGTGTATTAGTTTCCCCAGACTGTATATTACTTTCCTGAAGCATCATGTTAGCAAGGAGAGGGGTTGATAAAAAAGTTTACAGAGAAATGTATCACTTTTTCTGTGGCTGAGTTCAGGTTTCCTAGGCAATGATTGCAGGAAGGTTTTCTTTTTCTTTCTAATAAGTTCACAGGCAAGCCATGTGGTAATGTATACAGATGCAGTGAATAAACTTGCAGTTGTAAAACATTCACATCAATAATTTGTTCTGACACTGATGAGTGTTATGCTGGGATATACTTGAAGGCATGTACAGACTTGTGTAGAGGTGGCTGCACTCTCTATAGCTGTTATATCCAGTACCCATATAACATCTCACTGTGTATGCTAGCTAGCAAGGATTCTTATGAAGACATTTCACTGATCCTTTGACTAGCCAGGATCCTATGAAGCATTCCACTGATCTTTTGACTGTTCTGTCTCTCCAATCTCTCCATTGATAGTGTGATCTCTGTAACTTACAGTCGTGATGAGATAGCGATAACTTCAACCTCAGTTGGATAGCACAGTCAGTGATTCAATCGATAAGACATCTTGTAGATCTTGTGAAGTTTATTCATAAACTGAGAGAATCTTACAACAATGAACATTCGATAGGTCAAAAGATCATAATGTTTCCTGCTCCATGACATGAGGCTAGAGCTGCAATGCATTTCTGGGAAAGAGGAAGGGCTATCTATACAGCATAAACCAAACCAAAGGAAAGGGAGGGGCAGAAACAAAATATAGAAACAACTAAAGGCATATGACAGTCATGTGAAACATGACAATAATAATAAAAGTGTATGACTGTGGTGGGACATTAGAGTGTAAGCTCCTCTGGTTCAGACTGATGTAACTGGCTCAGTGTTTCCTGTACAGCATTGTGGATTCTATCAGAGCTATATAAAAATATAATAATAATAAAAGTGTATGACTGTGTGTTGGGACATTAGAGTGTAAGCTCCTCTGGTTCAGACTGATGTAACTGGCTCAGTGTTCCCTGTACAGCATTGTGGATTTGTTTTGAGCTATGTATGTATTGCAGTAATAATGTATTGCAAGGGGACATTAGAGCATAAGCTTCTCTGGTGCAGATACTGATGTAAAAGGATTTTTCAGTACAGCACTGTGGAATAGTGTATGTCAGAGCTATACAAATGTATATTAAAATAGTCTGTGATTGTGATGGAATATTGAAATATACGCTCATGTGATGTAAAGATTGGTGTGAATATTTCATTGTATCCTGGGCAGCATTCAAAATGGTAAATTGGAATTAAAGGGTCAGTTCACGTAGAAGTATTTTCAGTTATAGTTGGGAGCATGTTGAGTTGAGAAACCCCCTGGATTTTTATATCTCTTGATTACTCCAGCAAGGTCCCCATGTCATATTTACCAACTCTGTTTCTACCCTCCTGGGAGTTTTGCCTGTTTCCACTAACCTTTATGTGTTTTAGCTTCTCCTGTTACATTCTCCATAATAAAAAATAATAACATATCCAGCAGAAAGATAATGGGTACAAGGGGTGTGCGGACTCAGGAGCTGAAGTGCACAGATCTAACCAGTAGGAGAGGTAAAAGAAAATTTTAGATGGTTCAACTCTATCTCCATTGGTAAATATGCACAGTAGCTTGAATCCTGTTCATCAGCCCAAAAGTGATCTAGTGCTGTTTCTTTTAGGTGGGAGACGAGCAGTTGGAGTGAATGTTCTCGGACCTGTGGAGAAGGGTACCAGTTCCGGATTGTGCGGTGTTGGAAGATGATCTCACCTGGATTTGACAGCTCTGTGTACAGTGATCTCTGCGATTCTGCAGACATCACCAAGCCAGACGAGAGGAAAGTATGCAGGAACCCAGCGTGTGGACCACAGTGGGAGATGTCTGAGTGGTCGGAGGTACGTACCTGGCTTCTGTGACCAGAAAAGAACAGCATTGTTTTCCTCTTATGTCCGGGGAAAGCCAAGTTTGCTTAGGCTCAGCACAAGCAGTGAATTGAAAATTACTCTGGAAGATTCTTTGCATTCACTTCTTTTTTTCCAATGTGTTTATTTATACAAATTAAAGGAATTCGCTAGGAAAATAACAAATGCTTCTATTGTTGACCTTTCCATCTGAATTAACTACCCTAGGTTTAAAAATGTTCTTAAACAATTAAACCTTTATAAAGTTAGACATACTAAAACAGTAATCTTTTTTCTTTTTATAAAATACAGTAATTGTCCCATATTTGCTCACAACGTTTTGGCTCATAGAGGTCCCTAACTGTCCCTGCAAATGAAGGTCTGTACCTGCCAAGTGTTCACACTAAATAGCTTTCTTGTCTGCAGCGAATGGCAAGTCTATTGCTGTAAATGGACAGACTTGCTGGCCGGAGCTGGAAAGTTAAATAGCTCTACGAGTTATTATTAAATCCTAAATGAACACCAGGGATATGCCTACTGCGAGTTTTTTTTTGCTGAAAAAGAAAATCTGTAGCACAGCTTATGCAAAATCTGACTATTCAGACTTTAGCTATTTGTACTCTTCCGGTTAACGTATATAAATGTACTTTTGCCACTGTGTTTGCTATACCTTTGGGTCTGACTATTTAGCTTGGGAGTCAAGGTCCATCTGAAGTCTCACAGTAGCTAAATTGCCAACTGGTTGACATTACAAACTGTCTCTCAGCTTCTGAGTGTGCATAATATTATTAAAGTGATTCTAAGGCCTTGTTCACACTATGTGCAGAAAAGCTCATGGAAACTGACGTGCAGATTTCACTTGCAGAGACATCAGTTTTCATGTGCACTACAATGAGTTTTATACACATTGCAGATTCCTGCACAGAAAAAATCTGCACATGATACTAGTGTTGTGGTGTGAACAGAGCACATGGAGAACAATTGAGTTTGTTGTGCTTTTGCAGAATGCATGCAGAAACACTGACGTCTCTGCACCATGATATGAACGAGCCCTAAAGGTTTGCTTTTTAAAAAATAACAGACATGCTATACTTACCTGCTCTGTGCAGCCCCGATCCTCTTCTTCTTGGGTCCCCCGCCAGCGGTCCAGGCTCCTCCCTCTTGACCAGTGTCCCCAATGGCAAGCCACTTGCTATGGGGGCACTGGTGCATGCTCACTCCCGAGCCCTGATCTATGCATCCATAAGAGACATTGAGCCATGGGTAGGTTCACCTCCTACTCTCTCCTCATTGGCTCACTGGCTGTGATTAAAAAAAGAAGACACAAGAAAAGCTCCAGAAAAATGCATCCCTCAAATTCGGTTGTCTTCACACTGGTCTGTTGTGCTTCCTTTGCTGTGTTAATATCCTGCTTGCTCCTGCTTGCATTGGTGTGAACCAGGCCTGAAATGCATTGAAAACGCATCAAAAACGTACATGTTGCCTTTTTAATCTGTCCACTAACAAGTTGTTCAAAAAAAAAAAGCAAAATGCATAAAAAAAAGTGTAAAAAAATATGCATGCAAAAACGTTTCTGCCAAAACGCACTGCAAACCGGCACACAACCCAAAGTGCATTGGTGTGAACCAGGCCTGAAATGCATGGAAAAAGCAACAAAAATGCATTAAAAATGCATGTGTTGCGCTTTTGATGCTTTTTGCATTTTTTATCTGCCCAACGTTTTTTAAAAAGCATTAAAAAAAAGCGTCAAAAACATGCATGCAAGAACGCAAGGCGCACTGCAAAACAAACAAACAGCACAAACTGCATTGGTGTGAACCAAGCCTGAAATGCATTGAAAACCCATCAAAAACGCACAGGTGTTGCATTTTGATGCATTTTTTTGTCATAAGACCTATAAAAAAAAAGCACCCTTTGTCACATTTGGCAGAGATCACAGTAAAATCGCTGCAAAATTATGGTAAAATGGCAGTGAAAATTGCGGGTAAATTGACAGGCAAAACCACAGCAAAATCACGGGTAAAATGGCAGGCAAAATCGCCACAAAATCGTGCATTTTCAGCTGCCATTATTGGCAAAATGCTGATAACACTATTTTTGGCTGATATTTCGGTGCATCCCTGACTGTCGGCCACAAGGTAAAAAGCAAATTATGGCCAGGCTATGAATAAGGTCTGGACTGAAATGCGGTAGCGTGAGTTTTGCTATGGAACATTTTACTCCCTGTTTTCAATCAAGAAGATTTAATTGCTGCCAACATTCGTTTACAAGTATCTATTGGGAAGCAGATGGAGACTGCTATTCTAGCACGGTGAAGCACCATATCACAGCCTGGTAGAGAGTAGAATGGGTTGCAGCACCTCACCTGTGTGGATAGTGTACAGTATGTGGAGATTCTACAATCAGACTGTAATATTAGTTTCCAGTTTAAGAGCCCCGAAATCTTAGATTCTCAATTTGCAAATGTCGTCTCTTACCTCTAAAGTTGGAGCTCCGACATACTGCCAAATGAGCAAAATTCAAGCTCCTGGCCTCCTGCAGCCACTATGCAGCTTGTGTGTAATTTTTACCCTACAACACTGAGCTTCCTAGTGATACGTCCACGAAGCAGCAGACACGGTTTGGGTTTGCTGGAACCTGTTGTTCAGAACAGATGTAGGAATCTGCAATTCAATAAAAAATGTTTTTTTATGGTTTGCTTTCCTTGCATTTCATGCATGCACAATTATGTTATATAGGGGCAGCTAAAACACCGTAAAACTAAAGACATTGTTATTTTCAGTGCCAAGTCCCCTGTTCAGACCAAAGGGAAGATTTATTAATTGCTGTGGGTCCCCTGGTGACTGTGGCTTTGCATGTCCTCAGAGTGTGCTGCTCACCCTGCAGTTCTTTGCCGGTGACCGCAGCTTTTGATCCATCCCAGGTGCAGCTGTGTGAATCCCCAGCAAGGAACAAAACCTTTGATGAAGCCACTGGGCACCATTACTGCCTATGCTAATCTCATTTAGATCTGTGTCTGCAGCCAAGTGCCAGTTGGCAGAGCATAAAACAACCCAATTCAGAGGGATCAGAAAAGCATGAAAGGGCCTGCAATGTGAAACGCGTCAGTCACACGCTACCCTGCTGCAAACTGATAGGCTGGCTCTTGCTAATGTAGCTTTATCAAATGCCACAAGCTTATGTTTCATCCCACAGGAGGAAGCGAGACTGATAGTTTGGGAAGTAGGCAAAGTTTGGACAGAATTCCTTGTGTTAACGAGAAGAATGATTAACTATTGAACATCCAAAGTATGACACACTTTCATATATTTTTCTTTTCAGTAGCCATGGGAAAACTTTAGCTATGGTAGAACTATAAAGCCATTATTGCTTGTAATGCTGAGGTTCAAAAAGCATGGCGGTCCTTATCTCATGTGAAATGAAGAGCCGTGTTTATTATTACTGCAGAGAAACTTGACTTTTTCTCATAAATGAGAAAAAACATGAATGTCTGAACTCATATAGAGCTGGGTGACACCTCCTGCATAAGTGACACTGGAGTTTCACAGCTTTGCTTTGTCCTACTCTGGCCTTTTATCCTTTCCTTCCGAAATACCCCAAGGACTGTGCTCCTTTCGCTGTCTAAGGCTGCTTTAACACTGATCTGTTTTTCTTAAACTTTTGCATTTAAAAAAGTGGAAGAGAAATGTGTGGCCATGCATTCCTATGGAACTCTTCACACTGATCCGTTGTGGGCCAGGTGCGGTTTTTAAAATCCTGCTTGCTGTATTTTTGGTGGAGATACAGTGCAGTAAAAAAAATGCAACAAAATGCAGCTCCCCATGCAGTGCATATTTGAGTCACATGTCCTGTATGGTAAAAGGTAGATCTGCATGCAGTGTCCCTCAGTGAGTAGTGTACAGTGTAGGCTTCTGCCTACTCACCCTCACCATTCCTGATAACACTGAGGTTGAAGGGATTGAGGATGTCCTTGAAGGCTCCTGTAGAATTTGCAACCAGCATGGAGCGCCTGACCTATCACCTTGCGACACTGGGATTCCACTGTGATGATGTGCATGCCTCCAGTTAGTCACTCTGCTGACAGGAAGCTAGTGATGGATGATCTGCAGGTCCTCCACACCGTTCGGACTGCGCGGCCTACTCCACTATTCACAGCAGCCTGGTCCTTCTTCTCAGCTTTAGCCCCAAAAGCAAGCCCTTTTCCCAGGGTCAGATTTATATATCCTCTCCCAGCATTCCACTTCCTCTTCCAGCCAGCTGGAACTTGTAGTTCACAATAGTATTGGTCCCTCTGCAAACCCAGCGTTCTGAACTACATATCCTGCAATCCTCAGCTCTTCTGTTGGATCCTTCTCTTTCTCTGCGCCTCTGAACAAGCTGAGCACTAGATGGAGCGCTAGCTCAGCATGTTACATAGTTACATAGGTAGTCTGGCTGAAAAAAGACAAAAGTCCATCTAGTTAAACCATAAAAAAAAGTTATAATCCTATATCTACAGTTGATACAGAGGAAGGCAAAAAAAACCCAGCAAAGCACTATCCAGTTTGCTCCTGCAAGGGAAAAAATATTTCTTGATCCCTGAGAGGCAATTGGATATTCCCTGGATCAACTTTACCTATAAGGCTGGGTTCACACTGATGAGGTGCGGAATTTGCAGTGTTTTCCGTGTGAATTCCGCACCGCATCAGAATCGCACCCTGTTCATGCGAACCAAGTCGGGTGTGTATGTTAAGTTAACAACACCCCCAAATCGGTCCTCAAAACGCAGTGCAATGTGTAGAATCGGATCGCATAGGTGTGAATACCCATGCCATCCAATTCTAGTGCGGACCCAAATTAGGGTCCTGCACCTTTTTGGAGTGGGTGTGGTGCGATTTGAGCCATACATAATGTATGGCTCCAATCGCACTGCACACAAATCGCATGTGATTTGCACAGGAATGCAGTGCGGTTCCTGTGCGAATCACATGCAATGTACTGCACCTCATTAGTGT